ACTTAGTTGTGTACGCCTTTCCTCCCTTCCCGCAAGTTCACCGGGCACCGGAGAAAACTTTGACAGGTGTACACCCACATATTATCATGGGTTGCACCCAATTGGCCAATCAAGGCCTAGTTTCCACTTCTGTTGGAAATGCTAGTCGAAGTGCCAGCAGTGCTTCCGGACTTACCGGACCTGCCGTCCCAACCAGACAGCGCACTACCAACGAGCCCAGCAGGTATCACTTACATGCATAGAGGCTCTCAGTAGACCCGCACATACAAAAGCCTTATCTGAGCGGGATGCCAACGTCCTGGCCAGGGCAAACAGGGATTCCACCTACGCGGCCTACTTTTCTAGGCTGCAAGCATACCCTGATTGGTGTAGCGGAAGGGAGATTGATCCATACCATCCCTCTATTGGCCAGGTAGCAGGCTCCTTCGTTCACCTGTTTGACGAAGTGGGTTTGTTCTATTCAGCAAGTGTTGGCTACAGGTCGGTCTTGTCCCCCACCACTCAGAACGTACGGGAACAAGACTAGTCGATTGTCCTATTATTAGGAGACTATTTACTGCTTTCAAGACGCCAAGACCCCATACAAGGGAGCTGCCCAACTGGGACTCGTCGGCTGTGTTGTCTGCTCTAAGCAGAACGCCCTTTGAGCCTCTCCAATCAGCACCACTCAAATTTTTGACGTGGAAAATAGTCTTCCTACTGGCCCTTGCCTCAGGTAGGCGCCGGTCAGAGCTAGGCGCACTGTCCTTCGCGGACGGTTGTGCCGCTTTTATGGACGATCAAGTTGTACTAAAGACACGAATCAGGTTTCTCGCCAAGAGCCAAATCCCAGAACACGATCGTCAACCGATCGTCATCCCCTGGCTGGCAAATATTGTCGGCCCGGAAGATCAGGAGGAATTGCTTCTCTGCCCGGTCCGAGCGCTGAGTTGCTACGTGAACCGTACCAGGTTTTCCAGACGGGGAACCAAACACATGTTTTTGTGTTTCGGCCCTGGCAAACATGATATGCCGGCTTCCCCGACTTCCATCTCCAGGTGGATTACTGCGACTGTACTGGAGGTCTATAATACACTATCCTCTTCAACACAGACCTTGCAGAGACACCAAGTACGAGAACATGAGATCCGTGCGATTGCTAACTCACTAGCGCTAGCGTCAGGTGCCCCCTCATACACATTCTGAGGGCAGGCTTCTGGAGAACGTAGAACTTCTTCATCAACTACTACCTAAGAGACACCCAATCTATTGAGCAGGGTCTCTTCAGGTTAGGCCCCGTCGTAGCGGGTCAGGCCTTGTTTGCTGACCCAGCCCGAACGACCTGCAGGGGCCTCGCGCATAGGCGATAAGTCTCTCGGCATTTTTCGGGCAGATTGTCTGTTCCACTAGCACTTCCTGGAAGCTCCCAGGTTTCGCTTCTGTCGACCTAC